GGTACGCATAACTGCCAAATAAGATGACTCATGCCACCTCCACTAAGGCTATAAAAACCATTCTCATAAAAAGAACAACAAAGTAGCATTTATAATTAACTTAGCGAGTAGTTTGAATGATTACATTTTGTACCTTGAGTGGTACAAAAAAACAGAGCAGGACTTCAGTACACTTTCGTCGGGCTGCGCCCGTCCTCTAGTAGGCCACTGCTTGGTTGGACATCCGAAGCGGGGCCTGACATTGATGCTATAATTTGCTCTTGTTCTAACATGTGTATCCTCACTTGCTTGGCTAGCGCTCGGCAGGATTTTCCAGTATGGAAGCCAGCCATCTGATGGCATGCCTAGTGGCGATGCTGGGCGTAAAACTCGAAACACAGAAGATCCTCCAGTATATCCAATATACAATCTATTGCATACAGGAGTATTAAAGAAACAGAAAAAGCCACTCCAGTTTGAGTTTGTTCACTAAGCAGCTAACGTAGCAAAAGGATTTCAAATGGTAGTTCTTCAATGGTAGATACTACATACTCTCCATGCACTTAACAGCCGTAGGACGTGACTTGTTTGCCGGAGCTGGTTGAAGGCCAACGGCCAGTTGGCCAGTGACGACTTTCACCAGAGGCCGATACAAGCAGACGGAGAAAGACACAGCAAACGAGATATTACAGAGAGAATCGTTCGCTCTATTAAGGTGATCCTGATTTATAGAAGCGAGAACGGGCATAGCAAGAGCAAAAACGAATGGGTCAGCTCTCACCGTTTCTCCACCGGCCTTTTCCTTCAACAAATCCGGACGACGTCGATGAGCACTTAGGCCATTTCCAGAGTCGGAGATCCGTTCCCTCTTTCCGTATACTTTTCACTAGTTTCCCTGCTACGATGCGGTCCCTACATGATTTATTTCGCGGACCACCGAAGTTCCTCGAACTTCTCTATTTGCACCCACTCTTTCAACTTTCAAGCAGAATTTCTGAAACATCGCTTATGTACTCCGCCAACGAGTTTAACTGTCTTGACAGGATGCAGCGGCTTGTCAAAACTGAAATTACCCTTAGTTACCAGGAAGGCGGCATTTGCGTCGCCTTAAACAAGTCTATATATACGTATTATATATTAGTAGCATGTTTAGGCATAGTTCTTTAGGAACTATAGACATACTAATTAGGAACATATGATATGGTGAGTATCCCCTAGTAGCTGTTGTGTATTTCTGTTTTTACAAAACTGCAATTATCGACTTTTGGTTAGTCTTTTTTTTTGTATTTAGGCGCTCTCGATCTCAGCTATTTCTTCCGTCACATTTTTGAGGGTTAGCGACGTTTTCGAAGAAAGAATTCCGAAGTACGTTGGTGATACTTTGCCATTGGCTGATGGTTAACTATTTAGCAATTAACATATTCTCACCTACTCCTAATGTAAAAGAGTGCCGACTTTAATCAATCAGATCTACTCTTCTTGTTGTACTTGGTATACAACGTATCACAAACACTGGCATTTAGTTAGGCACTGTATGAAGCGTAGTGCTCGTCGAGATATATTTTTTACGGAATTTTGAATGTAATGCGTCATCACATTATATTGGTATAATTTCAGAAAAAGTTGAACTTAACTTTTGAGCTTTATCAAGTAACACAGCTGCTACAACAAGCGTTTCGAAATTTAAATGTAACTATATATAAGAACGGAAAATGGGATGTGTTTATAGATCAGCATGTACCTCATTTGTTTCGAACAATAGGGCAAGTCTAATTAATCTATTGTAGACCAGATATAATACGTTTGACACAGTTTAGCCATGGTTCGGCCAAGTTGAATAGAAGTGACCAATTAAGTTTAAGCTATAGTTACTATTCAAGCAGTAGCTCACCCTTCAAGTCATAGTGACTAGTAAAAACCAACCAACATTGCATTAATCTTAGTATGTCTGATATAGCTGATTAAAGTAACAATAGAAGCATTGGGCAAATTCACAATATTATGGGTGTATTATGTTCCGTATCAGTGTGGCAGTGTACAGATTATAATGTATAAGGAGTGCTTGGACGGTTTTTAAAAATTAGAGGTCACAATTCTTTCGTCAGTCCCCGCTCGGCAATGTAGGCGATATGGAAACGTATGTACAGGGTTTTCTCTAGGCTGAATTTTGCTGCTAGTGCAGCGTTTCGTATCATCTCATCATCGTTACCAACAACCTCTTAGTTTGAGGCGCTAACTAAAAATTAACGACAAGCAGTGAATAACAGCAGTAGTAGTACTTCATAGAAACTAGAGAACCTGTTCTAAGGCCGTCCGCACAACCCATAGTGGGGTAGATAACGAGACGAATCTAGCAGTAGCAAGACTGTCACTAGCACAAGCTGCCTATTAACTTTTCAAGATGGAAAAGCTGCGGGCGCTTCGAAGTCGCCAAGCAACGGCGGCAGGGGTGATAGGAGTTTCGTTGTCTCAAATGTTGTATCGTTGCCCATGTTAATACGCACTATCTCGGATTAGGATAGAAATATGGTCAGTAGCACGAAACTGACCATCCAGGCTTTTCCGGCACCAACAGGAAAAGAAGACTGCTGCTGCCGCTACCTCCGCATGGACAACCGAGGCGGCGATGGCGGCACCGGTCCAAATAATAACACCAAACGAACGCTGTAGACAAAGAATAGATGGGGGGAAATGACTCTTGCCCGGGATCACGTGTGGGCCACTTTCTGGGAGAACGTCTAGACGGGACAACAAGATATTCGAACGCTGGAGCATCGAAGACTGTTGGAGAGGCAGACACACGGACGCAGCGAAGAGCACCATTATTTTAGCTGGCATAGATAGCATCAGAAGGAACCAGCGGGTGCCTTCTGCTATTTGCCTGCCCGACTGCCCATCGACAGCAACGGCACTACCCCGAACAATGATGACGAACTTTGACTATATTTTCAGTTTCTTTCGTTGTTGCTCCGCCCGGCTTATAAAACGACAGATAGAAGGTAACCGGAGAAAAAGCGTTTGCTGCAGCCTTCTTCCTGAAATGTTAAATCAAATGGCTCAGTCGGCAGGCTGGGAACTTGACCAACAAGCGTATAGCGACAATCGGCCAGGCACCAATCCATTCTGCCGGACATACCCATGTTGTACATGCTATGATGACGTGGAATATATATATACCTAAATCCATAATATGCAGATTTAATAATAATGAACATACGTTCCCTATGTTGATTTCTCACACATACAGGCATAGCGCGTTGACTGAATCTATAGTGAGTGTGAGCTATTCGAAGAAAAAAAAACAGGAGAAGAAGGATGATAATGTTCATGCAGATTTTTTCCACAGAGAACTAGCCAGAATTACTTTTAGACTGAGCAGGAAGCAGAAACTAAATACAGGAACGCTTCCGGAATGAGGATTACTTTCACCACCCGCATCTATTAGTATTAATATTTTTTACGCAGTACGATTTCGTGCATCATCAATACAGCCGGCAAAAGTAGAATATTCATTCGGCAAACATCTTTTTTCGGCTTTTCTTTCGCTAGTGGTAACAAACTTCATTTAAGCGCACCGTAAATATTGTGTTTTCGTCATGCTAAGCGCCGTTCCTAAGGAGAAAGAACTTCACATATCCTCTCCTGACATTTCCTACAACTTTGTTGGAACGCTGCTACCGTTGACGCGCTGCCTGCACGCTTCGAAGAAGATCAACAACCTGACCGCCGCGTTGTGAGGGGGACGCGCAAGACCGATGCAGCCGACGTTGCTGCCATTAATATTGATGTCACCGTTGCTATAACTGAACGTCTGCTTGGCGAACAAAAGCATTGGCACCCAATACAAATAACAACAACGGCAAATAGTATCTATAGCTAAGGTGCAATTGCCGTTGTTGCTGATTTTACTATAATAAAGTGCTAGTAACAAACTAATGCTTGCTAGGGTTTCTGTCTCGCCCAGTGGATGCTACCAAAAGCCTGCTATCGGCTAACTGGGCTTTACCCAACGCCTGTTTCAACAATGATACTGTCACCCACTACCAACTATCGGAACGAATGAGTGCGACTGGGAGCCACTACAATCGTCCGATTGTACCTCAGCGACACTGGTGAACACATGCGACTATTGGCTCTAGCTAGTACGTCGAACCGCAAACGCACGGACGCTTATTTATTACCCTGAAAAACAGGCAACAGTAGCATTGCAATAACAATAGCGCCGGCGACCGATCTCTTCATCGCATATGAATTTTTGCCCAATTCCTGTTCTAGTTGGGAGGTAGTGAATAAAGCAACAGCAGCGCTAAACGATGAAACAGTATGGAAGTACGATGAACAGTTTCTGCCGTAATCTAATGTCATAAGACAGAAACGGGGTATTGTTATCTCAGCAACAAATCACGTCGGTAGAAGCGGCAGCAACAGGCGCTTCTCTATCGGCATATGCAGAGCTTACAAGTACCAGCTTGATATGCCTGACGTGTCACCCGATACGCTACAAACATGCGTCGGCCTGCGGCCACCGACTCCTAAATCGACATGATTCATCATATCCGCAACACATGTGCGTCCCTATTGTCAGTAGTCCTATAATTTGCATCACTCTCCACGCTCAATGATAATAGTCGAGGTGAGCATTGGTTGGGGCCGTTTTGGAAGAGGTCAAGTTTACTTCCATTGATTGCAGCTGAAATATTCAGACATTTATTTCATACTGGCTTCTATATATTCTTGCTTTTTTTCACAGGTTTATCATTTACAAATTAGCTGTTGCTACCGCTGCTGCTGATTGAACTAATTTTAAAGCTTAAAAAACAAACTTTTCGCCGAAGATCGTTTAGCTAAATGATCATCACAATCATCACGGATTATTCTTTCTTCTGCACTGAATAGGCAAATGCATCGTTTTACTCCACCTAGTATTCGGTTCGTCTGCTATTGCCGTGTGTCAATATTTACTTTTGTAGAGTACCACAATATGTTCTGGCGCCCATCTAATCAGCATGTGCTTCCACGAACGAACGGAATGGGACAATATTTGCTGATAAGGAGATGACTTCGCTTGGGCTACTGAAACTGTAATATACCGACACTAGCAACCTCTCAGATGTTAATCGGGATTATTCTTTCTTGACCAGGCACGTCACTACTACGTAGCCGTATCGTCGCTCGTAACGATGTCCACCTCACCAGCCCCGCTAGTCATCACCTATACGTTCATAACGCAGTTTCGCCATCGCTGAGTACGACGCTAGGTACAGCCAGCAAAGGCTGGCGAGGACAAAGAGAAATTCCGCGTGTTTCGATGAAGAATCAACAAAGCAGACCTACAATCCTAGAAATCGGCGCAGCAATCATCAATACAACGAATAAGAGCGCTGTTTCGAATTTTTCTTAATAGGATTTATAAACGTGTGTCATTCGCGCAGTCACTGACAGATCTCGCTTTTTATTGTTGTCAGAATCGTCTACTATGGAGCTTCCATCCCTGGACAATAGATGATGTTTTTGATGTACGTTTCCGGTAAGGCCTTACAGAAGACAAACGGGAAAAACTGTTTGTTTGCTTTTTCTGAGTAGAAAAAATATGCTTTCGAAGCTTCCTCCCAGTCTCCGACGAACATAGAACCGTAAATGTATATCGCGTAAATGAATATTTGATTTATGTCCTAGGTATAAAAATATTTGTTGTAAATTAGCTGTCTAGTTTTACCGAGCCGAGCACAGGTCTCATATTGAATCAAGCAGTGGATATCGCGACCCCTTTGACGCCCACTGGTATGGACTAGCATTCATGCATTTTCCAGTTACAATATACTCGACTAGTACAAGTAACTTGTACAATATTTTTATTACTACTATTAATTTAAACGATGTTTTAACTCTTTACACGAACTTCGCATTATATAGATATTGTCTAATCCTGATCGGTCTTATGTTCGGACTCTAAAGGTGGATATGTTAAATGACGTTTTACCCGTGGAAACACCCGTTTTGCTACTCTTTGTTTTCAGTGCTAAAAAGGCTGCGCAGGAGTCTCGCGGTAGTCGTTCTAGGCACGATGAGTACATTACAGATGACACATGTGCGCTTATTCGACGGTTATCTTCTTTCAAAAGAAGCCCAGGTAAATTCTCGAAAAGCTCGAATAGTCGAGAGAAAGGGTTTTTGGGCAGGTAACGCTATTGTCAAAACAATTTCAAATGCCAAACTGTCTTAGAGTAGTACGCACAGCCATAAGGTTCTTATCATACACGCCATACTTATCCTGGGCTTCGCTAAAAGACGAACGGAAAGTATCGATTGAAACGCTGTTTTCATGTTACACGTCTACGTACTACGATATCTTTATCATTCTGTAAATTGAAGCTGAAATATAACAAAATGACGACAACAGTAATTATGAAGAACAAAGCAAGAGCGTGTAAGAACTTTTAGCCATCAACAAACTAGGTATGCAGGAAAAAAGACCATTGATACTTACGCACCAGCCTAATAGCATAACGACACTAATCTAAATAGTCACTCCGTTTCCATATCAGCAGGCTAGAGTTTGAGAAAGGGCTTAGTCAGATGAATCTTCACATGGTGCTCTTACGATCTTCATGTACAACTAGGTCCAGCCAGTATCGAGAGGGATAAATTAGGAGAGCGTTAACGCATCCAATAGGTAACCAATACTTCATCAATATTCACGAGATACATTAGAATATTTAATTATCGAACCGATATTTAAATTTTTGAGCTTACCAATAAGACGCGCAGACAAAGGACCAAGGTACGAGATCTACGTTAAAGACCAGATTTCCTTTGCGCTGTCGTCTTCGAGCATCGGAGAGTCGCATGTTATCAAATTGTACCGAGCGGTTCTACTGTCTAGAAAAATATTTTTTTTTTAAGAATGATAAAAGAGATTTAAGAAAAATTGCGTAATGTTATACGCCGAAATAGGCCAGAGTTTCAATACAACAAGTCGTAACTTATTTATCACGATAGCCGATATCTCGTGCCGGCACCTGCCTAGCCTTTTGCCAAAAAACTGATGCCTATATTTGTATCACTTGTATTTGTTCTATCTAATCTAGCCCGTTGTGATTGTCTCTCTTACTCAAAGATCGAAGGAAACTTGCAAGAGCGGAATCTTCAGATGACTGACGAAATCCAGGGGTCGAGACTTGCTTCTACAACTGAACTCGGAAGTTGTTTGAACGACTGGAGAAAAATAGTACGATTAAAATTCGGGCAATTGAGGCATACCAAGTTAGTATCGAGGCAAATTTTCGATGCTAACTAATGTTTTCATATTTGATGGGTATAAACTGAGCTTTTATCAGTGACAACAACGTACATTTTCAGGCTACCAAGGATCTTTTCGTTTTTATTAATATTGCAAATAATAATAATATTGCCACTGGCTTTGTTGTTCTTGTTCGACAATATCTGTCTCTGTGTTTGGGATGTGTTGCGGTTGTTCTTTCGATAAGCACAGTGACCATGCGTGACACGCCGTATCGTCGACAACATTCGTGTCGGCGGTCGCGTACATACTGTCTGCCTAGCTTATATATTTTGTTCTTTTTTTTTTTGTTCGATTGAAACTTATTCATTCACTTACGTATAAAATATGATGCTATCGTGCGAAATAGATATGTAATTCGGCCGTTGGATCCTAGCTGATCTACGCAAAAACACAAACACAGCTTTGTATACGGGTTTTGGCAGCGCTGCTGTATCGATGATTATCGCGTCTTGCTATCGTTTTTTTTTGCTGTTATCGGTCTTTTTTTCTTTGACATTTACGTGCTTTTATCTCGTACATGTATACGCATCGAAGAATGCTGAGGCTGTTCTACCATCTGGGGTGGCATAGCCCTACGATCTTCAACTGTTTCTGTTTCCAGATAGCAAGAGTAGCAGTAACTATAAATAAAACTCCAAAAAAAAAGCAAACCGAAGCCGTAACGCGCGGCATGGATGAACAGTAACGTCTTCTTTAAGGTGGTCAACAGTGATCCAATTAGAATTGATACAAGAACACGGCTGCTTTGTCCACGGTGCTGTCGATGCTGCTATCGCTACCACTTAGCTGATAAAACATATCATATCGATTATTCGCCCGTCGATTTAACATAAAAATTCAGTGTACGCCAAACTGTACAGCGTAGTATTATTGACTGTGGCAGCAGCAAGTGTAGCTCAAAACGAGTGCTAAGGAAGCAAAAGAAACAATAACAAACACGCAGCAAATGGACGCCAACGGCCAAGACAATGCTATAACAACAGAGAGCTACAGGCTATCCAGCAATTACCAACACGTTTACAAACAGGATAATATAGTCGACGTAACGATCCGTTCGATCGTACGTAACGATCCCCCTGCGGGACGATCTATCAATTTATTATGATATACAGGCTTGTCCGGATCGAAAAAAGAAGTGAAAGCAGGTTATATTTTCACTTCTCTTTTCGTCGGTTCTGATTACCATCTTACTGTCAACGTCACAGAAGGTCCAGCTATTATGGCCTGGACAAACGCGTCACAAGTCGAATGAAAACAAAACGACGTAACGGTAACGACAGCACCATCATCGTCGGCCTATTCATATCAGCGTACTTCCTGCCGATATCGCATAATTTATATGAGCGTCATCAAAACTAAACAGTCGAAGTTTTTTCCTCTGTCTGTTTTTTCCCGCTTCTAAATAGGCTCGGCTACCAACAGTGCAATCACAAGTTAGTAGGAAAAAAGACAAACGCTCGAATAACGACGCATCTGTCATAAGTATAGAGGTGAATGCAATGGCAGCTAGGAGGATTCTGACCTGTATTACATTGATTATTCCACCCGGTATATTACCCATAGTAATAGCGTTAGTGATATTATCATAAGAATAAGTTTAATGTTCCCGCATCAGTCGACCTTCGTCAATTATCTGTTCACGCCTGCCTCGCTGTTACTTATTAACTACTAGCATTATAAGTAAGAACTTAAATTAAGTTGAATTAGGTATAGGGCGGGATTTCTGTTGCGGTTTGATTTTACGGTCCCAGGAAAGGTTCCGTTTAGATAGTGATATTTATCTAATCAGCAGCATACAACCTGCATCTTCTTCCACCTCGAGCAAATTCTTCTTCTTATAGTTGATTACCCATGGTCAGAGCCCATGGAGAACGCTTTTACCTATCAGGTAAAAGTGAACGGAGCTCACGATTCTATATTGTATATATATATTATACGATTCTATAATGTAAAACAGCGCACATTCAGTGGCTACAACTAAGAGACCTATCACGATGCACTTCGTTCCGTGAATTGAATGTAGTGAAAGGTTGAAATCAACTTCGCAATTCGACAACTAGCGCTGATGTAACTTTTTCAATTAGCACGATAACAAGCTATATATCACTGATGCATTTAAAAGTAAAATTACTGCTGTAATATTTCGTAATGTGTAATTATTAGCAACCCGCTAAGGAAAAAGCTATTTCACGAAATCGAATGGCAACAGGCAAGCACAAGCCATGGCCACAACAACAGACAGATTTAACAAACGACAACTAAAATAAATAAAGTTTTACCTGTTTTCTGTAATACGTAAGTTCTTTCCAACAAACTCTTGTTCAATTGCACAAGATAACGAACGGTGTTACTTATTGCTCCAAAACAAGGCAATAACTGATATCGACTGAACCAGTGTTAACCAATGTCGTCCGATGAGAGAAACAGTGATGTCCCACATTAGCCCATCAGCTCTTTCAACCTCATCGTCTTTGTGTCCATAAGTCCCCTAAGACTTGCCATTGGCCTTGGAGCGATTTTTATCCCTATGAGTTATATTGCGACGGACGGATACACACAAAATGTCCGACCGAATCGATATTGATCGGCAATCACTGCAATCTAGATAAGGACGCTAGCAAAATCGGATGTAGCAGAGACACCCCAAACGACAGCCCGCACGAGTATCTTTATAATCAATCGTTCCGTATAAGTCCTCTACCTGGATAGGGAAATTTGTATATAGCGGGACTCTTGCAAGTCAAGCAATATTGTAGCCCCATTGAACTTCTGTCTAAATTGGTTGACGCAGTGATAAGCAACTCATGTTGTTTCTGCTGTATTTTAAATCCGTAAGTATATAAACACTGTGCTTATAGCGCAAACGAAACATGAACTTAGTCAAAGTTCCGACTTTTATATATAATTATTCATGTTTGTATTATGCATATTATATAATTATGCAAGGTGGAACCTCTTTAAATTTGCTTCCTCCATAGGTAGATGCCTGAGCGAGGCTACTACAGGCGAGGACTTCTGAGCCTATTTACCTGGACACGACGCAATGAATACAGCATAACTTTTGATACATATGCCCAGTCGTTAAAACCTGTAAGAGGTGATACTAATAACGATATAATGCAAGAGTGGCTATACTCTTTGGACACACTAACATACCGATGTCTTGAATGATATAAAGGTTTCACTGTAAAAAAGAAAGGAATATATCTGTTTGCTCTTTGAATGAGTGCTTAATCAACTAATGTGAATCTCTATGTTAATGGAGGATTTACTCATTTGGTTTACTCGATTTATAACAATACTGCTTAATAGGGCTATCGACAAACTTCCTTTAGCCATAAACATTTCCACCACACATTGCAGATGGTTACTTTGAACGAAAAATCCAAATTTAAACCTCGCGGGAAAAATCTAAGGTTTGAGAGTGGTTTTCAAATGATTACATTGCTGGATAAAAATACGTCACCCAACATACAATCTGATACATTACTTTTGTTTTTGCTCATTCAACCAGCTCTGGCCAATAGATTTTTCCACAGCTGGCGGCGATCGCTCATGGAAAACATTTTGAAAAATCCGTTTATGACTCGGGACTCGGTATCACAGCTAAGTAGTTCCTCAAAAACCTTTCAGGCTAGAGGACCTATACCGTAAAAGAAGCTACCATATTCCTGGAATTTGTTGCTGGCAGGCTGAATTGTGTCCACACCCAGTTTCGAATTTATACCCTAGGATTAATAGGCGTGCACCATGACATCGCGTTAATGTCCTGCACGGGCGCTTTGACCAATCGCTCTTCCCTTCTGTACGCTTACTCACTTTCCTATGCCATCACAGCCTGCACGATCACATAACTTAGGGTCCCGATGGCTACATAGACATGCGCAGCTGAACGAAGAACAATACTGCTTATAAGTTTTCTGGCACTCGCAGCATTTAGTACTTGCTGACTGGCCAGTCGTTTACCTAATAGTCTCTGAGCTTCCCTAGCTAAAAGCAAGGATATTAGAGTTGAAATTGTGGGTATTTGAATAGATCGATTACTTTCAACGCCAGGTTGGCAGCTATCGTTCGTCAATGAAAGATTTTATTGATATATCACGCAAAGCTAACTAACTGCCGACTGAATAATATGTCTGTAAATGACGATGATATGGGCAGAATGTATTCAATATTAAGTAAACTGAGCAAAACTATAGGATCTGGCTCACGTATATCAATGTTGATTACACTGGTCGATAGCTATGTTTCGTCGAATTTTGACTCTGTTTACTGGGTTGTCTGCCAACTACCTGTTATTTCATTGGTAAACCTATCCGGCACATCCGTTCCAGGATAATGGGAGCATGCAATAAAGCAATGACAGCAACAGTACGTGTATTTGCTATTACTCCTATGATTATGTTCGTTCTTTGCAACTATCATATCGTGAATGATCCACTCAATCTTCGAAAACAAATATCTGCCTAAAGTTGGATAGTTAAGTGAATTACCTATAAGTTAGTTCATTGCATTTGCAACTTGTAGATATACAATATTAATAGAATCCATTAAATTGGTCGACTCCCATCGTTTCCAATGAACTCCCTTAAACGAGCTACCGTTCTAAGATCTTCCAAATTCTTCATCTAACTAGTCTTGTGTGCAATTGGTAATTACGGTTGCAATTTCTTCAATTACAAGGGCAATTTTTTGTCGAGGACTATCATGCTGTCAATATCGTTCGTCTGCTAGGACACAAAAGGACCAGCATTCGCTAACAACTCGTGATAGCAGTTATTAACATTCGCTCGTAGATTCACTCGTGTCTTTTATCAGGGAGGAGCAAGCGGAGTTTAACTTTTCTTTTGGCTAAAATTATAGCTTTGCACCAACACTTCGCTTTGTAACTGACGGTAAAATAAGTTACTAGGCATGCTTAACGCACCTATTACTGATACTTACCGTAAAGGTGGTAGTAATAACAGTAATCGAAACACTACGTCGAAGCACCGGCAAGTGGAACAGTGCGTGGCGTTATTCGAGTCCCATAAAAATTTTGTTTATTATTATTATTATGTTATTTAAAAAAAGCGGGAAAATCCGGGAAAAAATTTCCCGTTCGTGTTGACAGCAGTTCGTCGTCAGTGCACTCCACTTAACTCCGTTGCGGTTACTTAGTCGGTTACAGCCCAGGGAATGAGTCCGAGTAAATGAGTACTTTCATCGATGATGACTGTTGTTTTAAGCTTTCATGTCGATGTCTCAGTGCTTCATCGTTGGCATGAAGATCAAAATAATACAGGCATAAAATGACCGCGGCAGCGGCCCTAAAATCAATACCTGCTACCCAAAGGGAATACATGACAAGTTTGTGTTTTGTCTAACTGGTGAAAACAGAAGCAAGCCAAATACATTGCAGCTCGCAGCGGACCGAGAGAAACAAAGTTTACTTTAGTAGCTCTTAGAAAATAGCCTGCCCTATTAATAGTAATATTCTTCTCTATTGTTTTTATTACATTCTTGATGTTGAAAGGTCTGCTGCCCAAATGTACTAGACATCCTAATCAGTTTCAAAATACCAGTGAACTTGCATACAGACATATTGCAATTATAACCTTGTCGATGCTGATGCTGAAAATTGCACTTAAACTCTCGCGACCGACAACGACTATTTTTTGCATCTGGGTCAGTTACGATATACAGAACGGGCTTGATTACGGCAAGCCCACTTTGCTAGCAACAAACAGCTCAGGAATTAGTCTGCCAAAAGTAGCATTTAAGTTTAGATCTCATGTAGTATTACGTTGAAACGTGACTCGTTTTAAGGGCTATCCCGGGTGCTGTATCACATGGGATAGATTCTCATCTGGCTGGCCCAAACCAATACATTTAATAAAAAGGGGTAATCCAAAATTAGCATTCATTCTTCGTCGTATTTGGATGAAATGTTGGTTCATATCTTCTTTAAACTTACGTGTTCGCGATTCGTACACGCACGTACAGTCAAATGCTAACGATAAGGAAAGAAGTAAGCCTTGGCGATAATATATTTCTGCTGCTAAAACGTAATTTTTAAATGTATTTCATAATATCACGAAAACTATCATTGTTGTAAGTTACGTAGCATGACAAGGTATGATAGTATTGAACTCACCCAAATATAAGGTTAAGGTATTAGTTCTGGAGCAGCCCTATGGTGTGCATAGCAGGCTACGAGGTTAGGACAAAGTACTTTGTATAATTTAATCGAGACACGAGTGGAATAACATATACGTTCGTCTAGTCTCACGTCATAAATAGATTGACAGCGCAGAGTCTGAAGCCTACATCCGTAAACAAAAGTAGCAAAATTAAGAAGGCATATCGAACTCTCCCATTTGTTGCACCTCTCTAGAAAGATATATATATATATATTTGAATAGTTATACATGATAATCTAAAAATTAATTTCTATTAAGCTGACAATATCTGTAAATATCTCCCAGAGTTTGAAGTATTTGACTAAAGTTATTCCTCTATAAAAAAAAATGAAAGAAGGCTCCGTATCCTTAACAAGTGATAATAAATCTAAGAAAAATAGTATAAGAACTTTTATCGCAAGTCTTAATTGTCCAATTCATTGCAGGTTTGCCTGATTCTGTGCTAATCTCTTGTGGCAATAAACGCTGTGCCAAAAACAGGCCGCAGAGCCTTGATGTTTTCTGTCAAGCTTCATTACGACCTGCCATCTTTCACAGATGATGTGGAGTAAATGCAGGATAAAATTCAATTCTATGGAAATTCAAATCAAAACCGTCTCAATGTTACAAGCATTTTGCTTGTTTTCAAAAATTAATTATTATTTTCTAAAAATCAAACAGAAGATAGCAAGGAGATATAATATTGGTGGTATATCTTTATTTTCATATATTTAATCGATCTTGATTTTTTTACGTGCAATTATGTAATGTTTTGGCACAGGCTAAGTGAAATGTTTTAATTATCTTATTAGTACGAATATTTATGCAGCGATTTTTTTCTTTACGTTAACGTTTCGTTCGTTGTACTTTCATGTAACAATTGACAAACATCTGCCAACCAATGAAAGACCCTATTTAGTCTCTATCCTAATTATGGCTTCTGAGTATATATATATGGGCAAATGGTGGTATGGAGTAACTTATCACCACAAGTTCCGTCGTGATGGGGACACTAAAGCGAACGTTTGACGAGCTATGCTAGAACGACTATGACGAGAAAAATGCTAGAACAATCAACTGAGTATCTTCCAGTATAAGACTTAGTATATAACGCTGGAAAGCATTATAAGCCCGAAGTAACACGATTATTTTATGATCTCCATAGTCAATTTATACCAACAAACCAAACAATAGATTAACAATACGCTGCTAAAAAAATCGAAGTAGATGAAAATGGCAAGACACGATACTTGTAATTGGCTGGGTAATGTATACGTTTTTGGTATACACCTCTCTGGTGTAGACCTGGTACGAACAAGACATATTATTTTCTAATGTTAACATTGGGCAAGTCCTTCAAATTAGGCGTCCCGATCATAGTGATGCAATAGAACATTTACAATGTAACAAAAACAGTTTTGAAAAATCTGATTTAACAAATCCAATTTTTATGTTGTCGCTAAGAAATATATTTTCTATAAACTTTCTATCAGAGATTATTATTAGGTCTCCTTAGAGCATTTCCAATTGAAACATAGGTTTCGAAACCTTTTTTATTCAATAAATCGATAGTATCGTGTACCTCGAATATAATATCGTGTATGAAAAGAATCCGTTCAAAATTGTCGAATTGGCTTAATTTGGCTTGCTGTGTTCGGCGGTAAAATCTTAGGGGAGGAAGTGTGTGCCAAATGGTAATACGCGGAACTATTT